CTTGCTACTTTCGAACTCTTGTCTGTTTCCTGAATTTGTAATAATCACCCATTGTTGGACTCCAACAAGTTTTATGGGACAATCAAATGTAATTTCGAAGGACAAGGACTTGATTGGGATCATCCGCCAAGGATTCAAATCTTGAGTGGGTGTAGGTTTTCCTCTGCTCCGATCACCCAACCCTCGTGAAGCCTAGTGCTCCAACAAACATCGAAACATTCAAATTTACTCGTAGCATCATGACAAGGCAAAAATCGGCGGGAGTTGGCAGCACTGACGACGACTGCATCCATGCATGGCAAATAAAGCCCGATGAGAAGGAAGAAAGGTCGATCGGAGTGCTCAAGGCCGCAGCAGCGAGCTAGCAAGTCCAACTCCACCAACACTGTGCCCGGCCTGACTCGATGCGAGCAGGAGTAGCTATGAGATGGTGGAGTTGTAGGACTGCGTGAGCAGCGCAGAGTCAGAGCATGCACGGCCGGCGTCAGCCGGACAGAGGGGATCGATCGATTGCCTGCTCTCGCCTTTCGCACCCATCAAATCAGAGCCTAATCATTGCCGAAAAGAAAGCTTGCACCCGTAGACCGGGCCAGAAAAGAGGAACTTTCACATCAGCGCCACTAGCTACTGGCCCGCTCGATCGCTGTGACCGTGACCGTGAGGCTGCTGTATCTGCATGCATGCTGCTGCCCAAGCTCGGTCAGACGATCATGCCGGCCGGCCGGCTCCAGGGTCCCAGGCCAGGCTAGCTGCGCTCCTCTGCTGCCTCCCCGGCCCCCTCAGCCCATAAAAAACGTAATTTTAGCTTTGAATTTTTACATGTTCAAAGTTAGAATTGTGTTTTTTAATGGACGAATGGAGTAGTCCCCTAGCTGCAGGCAGGCTACCGCGTACCGCCGCACATGACGCATGCATGTGCATGGGTGCGTGTGCGTGCGTGCAGCTGGGGTTTACAGTAACGCACGCACCCATGCATGGATCCGTCCGTCCCTGCCAGCGGATCAGCGACGGTACACTTCTCCGTCCGTCCGTCCGTCCGTCGCTGCTCGCTCGGTGTTCAGCCGCTCACATGCATGGGCATTGGTACTGTACGTACTTTGATTTCTTTTTCCAATTTCCAGGACGGCCGGACTCGCCATGCATGTTGCGTGACCCATGATGAAGAGGACGGACGGACGAGCCAGGAGGGATGGGATGGGATGGGAGAGAGCTCAGTGAGTAGCCGTGCTCATCACCTCTACTAGCATGCATGATCTCACCCTGATTGACCTGACAACTGACGTGCACGTCGTCTTTTATTTTGTCAGCAGGTGCGTGATGCGAGTACGGGCCGCCAATTTGATTGATCATTCGACGACAAGGCAGGTCTAGGGCTAGCTGGAGGAGCCGAGGAGGACGATGATTGATGGATCGATCATCATCAGGTACTTAAGCCGCAATAATATTAAGCGTGTAGCTAGGCCCTAGACTTCACATGCTAGCCGGCCGGGAAGTACCGTCTGGATTCCTGAAAGGATTCCTGCACATCCTGCAGGAGGATATTACATTTATACCGCCTGCCCCTGCCTACTTAGGAGTATTATTGATGATGAAGGGGGTATTTGATTCTTTTCATGTCACATCGAATGTTTAGATACTAATAAGGAGCATTAAATATAGATTAATTACAAAAACAATTACATAGATGGAGGCTAATTTTCGAGACGAATTTTTAAGCCTAATTAATCTGTCATTAGCACATGTTTACTGTAGCACCACGTTGTCAAATCATGGGCTAATTAAGCTTAAAAGATTCGTCTCGCAAATTAGTCGCAAGTTGTGCAATTAGTTTTGTAATTAGTCTTTATTTAATACTTTATGCATGTGTCTAATCATTCGATGTGACAGAAATTTTAGGAGATGGCTAAAGAACCAAACAGGGCCGAAGTTGAAAACTCGTGTGAAATTTGTCCGAGAGCAGCAGTAGTAGGATTATCATCTTTCAAACGCGCTCAAATTACTGACTGAAACCCCTGCCCCTACCCCGGCCTACGCACACAGTGCTGCAGTGAACCGTGAGTACGGGTGAGTGGGTGGGTCGACGCTGACTGTGCATAACTGCATACGCACGTACGTACACGGTACGGGCGTGGGCACCCTACGTGCGAGACGAGATGTCGAGGTCGAGGCGACTAGGCGAGGACGCGAGGGCCCCTCCGTGGTGCTCCCTGCCGGACTGCCCGGCAGCCCCGGCGGCGGTGCCAGCACGCGCGGCCGCGGCCGCTCAAACTTCAATTATTGCGCCCGTTGGGTTGGGGCCGGCCCGCCGGCCGTGTGGTTGTTCTGGCTGTCGCGTCTCCCGTCGCTGGAATATCCGCGCCGCGCGTCCATCGTCCATGGGCTCCAAGGAACAGTGCGGCGTCCCATCACTTGGTTCGTTGTCGTGCGGCCGCCTCAGCTTCGCCACAGAGTTTCTAGGACTGCTGCCGCGCGCCGTGGACATGGGCATGGGCATGGGCATGCATGGAGATGGTGCGGAGGACCGCCGCGCAACTAGGCTTACGTGCTGCTTGCGTCGGCTTTTAAATTCCTGGCGACTTAAGACTGGCCACAGTGTGTGCATCGATGTCCAAAGCTAAAAGCACAAACTCAGCATCGGTGGAGACAAGCTGCAATGGGCAGGCATCGTGTAGGACCCACTAAACAGTAAAAAACAACAATTGTAGATAGCTTTCCTCTCTCTTATGCACATTTTTCTCTCTCATATACATGCATGTTGCCAGAGAGAGGTTTGAAGCATCGATGCTTCTACATGACTCGGTGCCCAATTTTTCTGGAAATTTGGCATCGCTCGCAATGGTCGGCACAGGTGCTTGGACCTTCTCTCTCCTCTTCAAGCACCGGTAAAATGATACATTGTGGACAATCTAACAGGCGATCGTTGCGGCCGAGATTCCCCGTTGCGATTATATATATACCTTTCTGAAAATATAAATTTTAAACTAATCCTAGTCTATTTTTAATTTCCAAATCTAACTAATTCGAAAGTGCCAATCTTCGAGACGCGTATAAAGCGCACTGCCAAGCTAGGCCACGTTTGGCGCGGCAACACTGCCACTATGGCGATCAGCACGCTGCTGGCGTGGCTCCCGCTATCGCGCCACCGCGTGGGGTGCGCCAGATGCCACGCCAACCCACCTGACGCGACAGGGGTGGATACAGGCCCACGCTCGGCCTTCCCTCCCTCTCTCTCTCTCCCTTGCTCTTCTTCCTCCATGTGTCGCGTGCAGCCCGGCTACGACCGCTCGTCACCGGCCCAAATTCGGCGATGGGATTGTGAATGCGAATTGACTGCCTCTGTATGCACTTAATATGTAAACACTTAATTTGTGAAAATTGTATTGTGTAATGTCTTCGTAAATTTATTTGTGTTATTATTGTACTGCAACTGCCGTTTCGAAAAACAAGAGTTACAATAGGACTTAAGGCGTTGTGCTGGTGCTAGGCTTGCCACGCTAGGCCTACTGGCGCGGCCAAAGTGCAGTGACGCGCCAACCCACCTAGCGCAGCGAAAGTGCAGTGACGTGCCAACCCGTCTGGCGCGGCGAAAGTGCACTGAGGCACCAACTCGCCTGGCGTGGTAGGGCGTTGTCGTCGCGCCGCGGCAAGTCCGGTAGGGTTGCTAAGTTAGTTTTCAGGTATTCTTAATTTCTACAGGTTTACGCCACATGTCCTCCGTCTTTCAAAACAGAGGGTACTAACAAATCAAATCCACTATGGTTGTCCGACACTAATCTACATTGCAACCAAAGAATAAAAATATTATAGTCTTGCCCATATGAATTGCATTTGTGCATTGCTTAAAAAATAAACGTTTGCACAAATGAATCTAATGTTGGTGCGCCAATGGCTCGCCTGGCGTGGCACAGCGCTTTGGCTACGCTAGGGAGTTTGGTGCGTCCAAATAGGTTAGATTTGTTGATAAAAAAAACAGGCAGAATTAGTTTTAAAATTTCTTTAGTAATAAGGATTAATTAAAAAAGAAAAAATCCCGTTGCCAACCGCGTCTGTGCTGGTCGAGGAAGTGAGGCCGTAGCTGAGAGCGGAGCCGGGCGGACGGGAGGAAGCAGAGCTGAGAGCAGCAGGCACCGCTGCCGAGCGAGAAAGACTCTCCCGGCGCGGACCGGGGCGCGACACCGATCGGGTGTCGCCTCCCGTGTTCGATAGGGCCCCCCGGGCGCCCACATGCGCGCCACTCCGTCCCGCCCGGCAATCCCCGGCGCACATCGACCGATGGATCAGTCACCCACAGGCCAGACGCGCCGCACACGCACCAGCACCATCGTTGTTCCCTTGCTCTTTTTGGAGTCTTACGTCGCGGACCGGCAGCTGCGACCTGCGAGTGCGACGTGCGTGTGTCGCGCTTTGCTTCCTCGGTTCGAAAACGTCCTAGATCCCCCTCCCAATTCTTTAGGGCCATGGACAGCCGAGATCTGCATGCCTGCTGATCGCATCGCATCGCGTCGGATCGGATCGGTCGGTCACCGTCAACCAAACACGCGCACCACCGAATCCGTTTGAAAAAATCAAACGATCCCGCCATCGTTGCGTTGCGAGTTGCGACGCTCGTGCTGCGCTGGCTCGGAAACGACACGGAGCTGCTCTTTTTTCTTGATGGCGATTGATTTGAGAACAGGCGGAATGTACATCGAGCTGATGATCCAGCAGCACTACTGTTTATGAACGAAAAAACGAAACGGAACGGGATGAGGAAATCTCTCCCTACTTCCCCACACACGCTTATTGCAAGCAGGAAGAACGACCGACAGCAGAGAGAGCTCACGGACGCGATCGGAAGAACACAGATCACAAAGGGCGAGGAATTAATGAGAACCTAATTAACAATCCCTATTAGCAGCACCGATTAATCATAGGCCATAATCTCACTCAGGCCAGGCAGGCAGGCAGGCGGAGCAGTTTGACTGACTCACTGACCGATCGATCGATCGGTCGGTTCCCAATCACCACCTCCTCTGCAGGAAGAGCACGTCGCGGTCCCGCTCGGCCGCCGTGGCGGCGGCGTCCGACGCGCGCTGCTCGAACCGGCTCACAACGGCGGCGCGGAAGTCGAACGCCTCCTCCGCCTGCGCGGCGCGGGTGTTGCACGGCTTGTGCATCATGCCTACGCCGGCGCCGCCCAGGCTCGCGCGGGCCTCCAGGACCACCTCGCTCAGCGGCACGCGCTTCCTGGCCGGCTGCTGCTGCTGCTGATCCGGCGGCCGCTGCTTCGGCGCGCTCTGCGACCGGGACGACGACTTTGCCTCCGACGACTGCGTGCTCGACATGTACCCGGGGCAGTTGGGCGACCCCGCGGCGAGGTGGTGGCCGTAGTAGCCGCCGTTGCCCCCCGCGCCACCGCCGCAGACGCTCTTGGCGGGGGTCGGCGGCGCGAACCGTGGCGTGCACTGCGCCGTCGCCGGCCGGGGTTTCTCCGGCGCGCACCAGTCGTAGTCCGGGAAGTGGCGCGACGTCGGCACCGCGATGAGCGGGGGCAGGTGGTGCTGGTGCTGGCACGGCGGCTGCAGCGGCGACGACACCGACTGCGCGTACCACTCGTCTTCGGTGCGCAGGGACGACGCGCGCGACCGGGGCCGCGCCGTGTCCATCTCCACGATCTTGGGGCTCCGGTCGTACCCGCCCCCGTACGACGCCGACTCGATGCTCGCGGACAGGCGCCGGCTGTACGCCGCCACGCCGTGCTCGCTGCGCGTGTCGTCAGCGTACCGCTCTTGCTGCCGACACAAGCAACGCGGATTCCATTCGTTAGACAACAGAACCAGGGACAGGGACGATGTGGACTGCAGCTTGCTTCGCCGCAAAGTCACGGAGGGCTCGAGGATGGTAGTTGACTTACCAGCGAGAAGCGCGGGCGGACGGCAGGGTGGTGGAGGGGCGGGAGCGAGGGCAGGGCGCGGCAGCAGCGGGCGGCAAGGACGGTGGCCTGCGCGCGGACCAGCGCCTGCATGCTCTGCAGCGTCGCCGCCGCCTGCCTCCGCACCAGGTAGCCGCGCACCAGCGCCTGCAGCTTCACCAGCGCCTTGAGCGCTCGCAGCGCCTTCTTGGCCTGCAACGAAACGATTCATCAGACGAACCGGTTTAGCTTCGCGCAGGCGGAATTTGGATCGCGAAAGTTAAGCATGTGGTAAGTACAGGGGAGGGGCAAAAAAGAATCTTTAGTGAACAGTGCAACAGTAATCAGACGAGCAGACTGTTGCATGGTCCCCTGTGCCTCTGTGCGTGAATGTGTTGTGTTGTGGAGAGAGTGAGGCCACAGAAGAGTGGAAGACGAAGGGATCAATCAAGAAGAGAAAGCCAGCTAGCTAGCCACTGACCAAGAAGCCTCTGAAGGCCGTCTGGATCTTGACGGCGGCGCCGGCGCGGCCGCGGGGGTCCAGAACGGCCCCTCCCGCTCCGCTGCTGAAGACCGGGCCCTGGCTGGTGAGCCGGACGACCTCGACCGCGGCCTGCGCGGCGGCCACGGCCGCGTCCGCCGCCGCCGCGGTGGCCGCGGCGACGGCGATGGCGTGCTTGCTCTGCTGCCGCCCCGTGTCGTCGTACAGCGACTTGAGCCACGCGGCCTCGGCCGCCCGCGCGATCGCCGCGTTGCCGCCGCCAGCAGCGGCACCGCCACGCACGGAGCCCTCGGTGGCCGCCGCGGCGGCCTCGGCCGAGTCCCGCGACGACCTCGCGAAGCTCCAGCGCTTCCTGTCCGTGGGGGGCGCCGGCGCCGGTGAGGCCCGCCTGTCCTGGTCCTTCCTCCCGCCGCCAAGCAAGCTGCGGAACCACCGCGCCGCCTTGCCCATCCCCGGAATTCGCAGCCGGCAAGAGAGGCTCCGCGCCGGCGCGCGCTCCAAACCTAGCGACACTGAGCTGCAGCAGAAGCAGCTGAAGTGCTGAAGTGAGGGTGTGATGAGGGTTGGCAACGGCCGGTGGCGTTAGAAAAAGAGGGAGCTTGTGACTGCGAGTTTGAATAAGAGAGTGAAAGCAGGGGAGGAGCGGGTTTGGAATAAAAAGAGAGCACCAGATATCCCGCCCGGAAAGATGCAGCGCAAGAAGGCAGAGACGACGGGTCGGGGGGCCCTCTCACTCTCACTCACGCTAGTAGCTGAATATTCGTGTGTTTTTGGTGCGACGTGTAAAACTGATTGACTGATGCCCTACCAAGTAGCAACGCAAAGCTGCCGCAAAGGCACGAGATGGGCGACGGGATTAAAGAAATGCCGGCGTCGCCGTCCCAAATCCAAGAGGTTTTGAGTGTGCGTGCGCCGTGGATGTGGATGAGTTCAAAAAGCGGCAGGATCAGTTCAAAAAGGCGCGAGGAAGGTGCTGCTGGCGCTGCTGATGTGTCTAATGGCGGCAGTGACGTCGTGGCTCGTGTACTAAAGTTCTGTTGCAGATGTGGTACAGTACGTGGTAATCGTGTGACTGTGTGAGTGCGATGGATGTACCTCGATCGCAAGGGCAGTGACATAAGTATATTTTACTGATTCTGATCATAATCAAGTATATACATATTAGAAAAATACAAAGTCAATAAGGCTTTCGTACGTGCGAGAGTAAAGAAAATTTACAAAAGGTTTGGCCTTTGGGTCTGGGACCTGCCTGGCTGCCTCTCACATTTCGACAGTGCTGCCATGTTGGCAGCCTGTCCAGCAAGGACTTTGATTGGTTGATATCGTGTTCTAATCTGGCTTCTCCATTAAGTAGATTAAATATATACATACAAATATACAATGGCATAAGCACCCATGCTCAACTAGGGTTAACAATTTAATTACAAAGCTAAACCAACAAAAAAAGAAACATAAGAAAGAGGCTGTAGCAGCAAAAGCAAACATCTAACACGGATTAAACAAAAATGACCAATTGGTTATCACAAAAGCCCTTCTACTTCTATGTTGTCAGTTTCCTTACATAAGTCCTCCATTCACTTTCCATGTAACTTATTGTCTTTCAGGAACTTGACATCTCCCTCCCCCAACACAATTTTCCATTGTATAGGAAAGAAATAATTTTGTGGAAAAAAATCATTAGAAGACCTTGGAAACCTCTTTTCTACCCCTGTTTTGTTCCGAGTAGTCCATAGACTCCACAACATTATGGATAAAACGAAGAATTTGACATGATAGTTGCTACTCTGAAGCCTAGATCCAATAACCTCGTCTCCCATTCCCTCATCTCCTCCATCCCAAGGGTCTTCTGAAGCCTATATTCTAGCCATCCCCTACGCATCAATCCCTAACCAAGCATTGTTCATCTTTGGGCATTCGTCAAATAAGGTGGAGGTGTTTTACCGACTTGGCTTCAAAAGATATTGTTCGTTTGTCTATACAAAGTTATTTTGTATAAAAATGAAAGATTATCACTCAGTTTTTTTTTATTTTCTGCAAGTACAATCTTAGACCTTAGTTTCTCTTATTACGGAGTATATCTTATAAAATTCTTTAAATGTATTATTATCATTTGATATATACTAATCATATCATTAACTATGTTAGTGTCGGCATTTCGGGAGTTTGGCTCCAGAGCAACACAAAAAAAAGATCTACGTATCTGTAGAGCCAAACTAGAAAGTTCCTTTTGCATCCCGTGGCAGCTCAAATATATCAGCATATGCAAACAAACAATCGCAGATGGACCTCTTCCGGCTGGCTCCTCCCCCTCCTCCTTCGTCCTGCCGACGGATTGCGTGCGACGAGACAAGGCGCAAGTACGTACCAGTAGCAGCAGCACAGCGTATCGCCGGGGTGTGTAATGTAAGCGGCGCAGGAGGGCAGGATATATGTATAGACTAGAGAGAGAGGGAGCAGTAGCATGGAAGCGGTTAGACAGCGTGAGCGGTGAACGGGGGCTCGATCGGAGGACGGAGCGCGTGCGTGTACGCGTACCCAGCCCACTACGTGGCCAGCACAGCACAAGCGTACGACGGGATCGGATCGGGTCTTCCCCGCCTTGTGAAAAAAGCTGAACGCGCGCCGTGACAGCAGCACGAGCAGCGCTCTGTCCTCGTTTGTAGGCTTGTAGCACGGGCGCCGCTTGCCGCGGCCCGCGCGCGCCCGCGGCCGGCCGGCCGGCTCCTCTCCGATCCGATCCGCGCCGTCTCGTGAACGCCACACCACTTTGACTTTTGCAGGTCGTTTCGTACTCGTACCTCAGGTGCATGGGTTGCAAGGTACAATACGTAGATGTACTGTAGACAGGACCAAGGCAGAGGCTGAGGCCGCGGCAGGGGCGAATCCAGCCATGAAGTTCACTGGGGTCATCACATTTATACAGTGGGCTATCGTCGCTGATGGATTGTGATAAACAGTAATTCTCCATTAATTTTGCCGAAGTCATCGGGGCTAGGCGACCCAGTAACATAGGCTAGATTCGCCCCTGGGCCACGGCAAGGCTGGGCTGGCTGTGGGCAGCGGGCAGCCACTGCCCACTGCTGCTCCTGCAAAGCAAAAGGGCGGCCGCGATGATCTTTGCGTGGACGTCACCCAGATAAAGGCGCCGGGGCGTACAATACAGATACGGTACAGGTGGTGGATGCACGGGGGCTACTAGTAGCAATGCAGCTTTGAGCATCTCTCCTTGTACGTACACACGCACAGAGAAGAGAACCCCGCTTTGTTTCAACTTTGAAGAGCGGAGCACGAGAGGAAGACACAGGCGCACGTGCAGGCCGGGCCAGCACCGCGATCCGCCGGGCCGATCGGCCAGCCTCACAAGGATGCATGCATGCCGCCATGCAACTGACCGCGATCCTGTTTGTGTTGCGCTGTGCTTTGATTTGAACATGACATGCGGCAGAGATCCAGGCAACTCCTGTAGGTCGGTAGCGTCCGTCGTCGTCGTACGTATCAGCGGCAGGGGTGCAGCCGTACGTACGTACACAGGGCCGCGCGCGCGGCAAGGACTGCGCCTGACGACGCGGTCACACGGGCACAGGAGCTTCGCCGTACCAGTGTCTTGGCGATCGCCAGACCGTGGTCACTGGTGTGGTGGATGGTGATCAGTGATCACGGAGCGGGGAGCGCTCCATCTGTTCCCGGCCCGCCGCTGGCTCAAGTCAACTCAGCCGGCCGTGCTCGCTCGCTCGCTGTTGCCCTGTCCCTGTGGTGTGTGCGCGCGTGTGGCAGCTGGCTGCTGACTCTGAGGAGGAGGCGTCGCGTCGCGTGACGTGGAGCACCAGGGCATGCATGCAGGCCGCGGCAGAGGGATTTGTCTCCGTTACCCCCCGGGCGTTTGACCGCGTGCCCCAGCACCTGGAAACCATAAAAAACCAGGTGGCCATGGTTTTCGTTTCCGAGAGACCATGAAGTCTTGACGACTCCTCGGCTTCAGTCGACGATGAGCGTGGCACGGGACCAGTACGAGTAAGTTTTTTTTTTGGCAGGTGGTAACTCGCTCAATCGGGTTAACATACTGACATGTCATGACACGGTAGTGGCATAGTGGGCACTGGGCACTCCGGCGCGTGTCTTGGAAGGCTGCAGCTTCTATGGCAAAGGCGCGGTGGTGCATGGTGAGCACACCGACACAGTGCAGTGCTCCCATATCTGCCGGAGTAGCGCTGGTGTGGACGTGGTGAGTGAGGGATTAAGCGAGGAGTAATGGGTATACTTTTTGGCGGCTCTCGGGTGTCACGGACCGGTACGAATCCTTGGGGTTTTTGAACAAAAAGAAAGGAAGGAAGGCCGAACGGGCCCAGCCCAATCATGCGAATTTGAACCCGCAGCAAGGGCCTGCTCCGCGTCCAGTCCGGGGAGGGAAATCCTGGGATCCATGGGATTCCGCACCGCACCGCCTCTTTACCCTTTGGGGTTCGCCCCGCGGTCCCGCCCCGCCCGGCTTTTTGGATGGGTTGGGTTCCCCGTGCGGGCGGGTGCGTCAGCACGTGCCTGCCATACGCCGAGGAGCAGCAGGGCCTGAATGCCCGCGCCACCAATCAGCGCCCCGGTCAACCTGCCTGCTGGCCGCGCGCAGGGACCAGTGTGGGCTTTTCCTAATCAAATGTACTGTAGTCCAATCCACCAGAACCTATCCTATCGCTCATGGGCTCACGGCCCACGACGAGGATCAGTGTGGCTCGCGGACCCATCGCCATCGGCGAACGCTTGATGGGGTTGTACGGACTACGGACGCACCTCCGCTTACAAACGAACGAGTGCCTGGGGCTTTGCGTGGGCTCCGATGGTATGGAATGGGCCGGATGTTTTGTCCAATTTATCCCATGAACCATCGAAGTTTAGGTTTCTCTTCAAACTCTGAAAACGGACAAGTTATCTCGGAAGAAAATTATATGCATCCAGGATCGGTGCATACATGTGTCAATCTGCTGCCACGTGGACAAAGCAACGGCATCTATGGCATGCGCTCATCCGGTGGCAGTCGGAACTTGGAAGTCGTCCTCATCCTGCGATTGGCTCGGCTCTCACGTGCTCCACTCCATGCTCTCGTCTGTGATTGGCTTTCACGTCTGTATGCACCGTTCCTGGGTGCATACGGTATATCTTCTTGTTTTATTAGCTCAAAAAATCGTTTACATTATCTCTGTGCGCGAGTTATAAGTGTTTCTAGGCGATTTCTTTCTTTTTTATTTCAGAACAAATCCAGTAAGCACCTGATAAGATCTTTAAAAAATCATGAAAAAACATCTCTACATTTCTACATATTATGGAAAAAATCATAGAGATTTATTGGAAAACGAGAGACCCAAAATATTTAGATCACAATAAAACATCTCTAGTAGCCTCCATATAGAATGAATTTTAACCTAGGGGAATGGAAAAATATCTAGAAAAAATCCGGAAAG